TTTTTTTTTTTTTTTGGCCAAGGCTGGGTTTGAACCCGCCACCTTCAGCATATGGGACTGGAGCCCTACTCCTTTGAGCCACAGGCACCACCCTATACATAACTTTTTTTAATGTATTATATTTGTAAATTATACTTATGTTGAAATTTTAAAAATATACATTACAATACTATTTTTGCGTTCTATGAAAATTTTTGTTGCTCCATATATACCAAATTTTTAATTAAGAACTCCCCACCCCCACCCCCGGTCACTGGTGTCCCACTTTACCAATGTTAAAATCTGGTCACCTTATAATAATGCTATTAGCAACTTTTCTTCAAACACGCAAAGAAGACATATGTGTGCGACAACATTTTCCACAAAGACTTTTACAGTAAAAAAAAAAATGACTACTTCCAATATTTCACTATTATTAAGAGTTACACGTCAATTTGCATTTCTACAATTTGCATTATAGCTTTTCAGAGGGCCTATTTGCTGACACTCCAATCCATGGGGCATTACTTAGTAATAATGCAGATATTTCTGAAACAAAATAGATGAAAAAATAAATTTCTCTATTGTTTTAGAATGTATATTTTTGTTAGAAAGAAAAAGAATTTTATATTTTCACAGAAAAGTGTGGCTTCTTCATTTAGAGTACTTTTATTTCCACTTGATAATACAGGGTATGGTTGTACTCCATGACAACCACACATTCTGCTGAGGTTAAATTAATAACCAAAACCATCAATATAGTTACTAAAAAGTAAACATTTATTGAGTTCTGTGATGAATTTACATGTATCATTTATTCTCATAAAACCTCATAAAGCAATATTATTTTTACATTTTAGCCACCTACATTGGAAAGTCTGTAAGAACAGACCCATATTTATTTTGTTCACCCCTGCAATTACCTATCAAGCATAAATAAATCTAAACAACAAATCTATAAGGTAAGCCATCACTGTGGAAATTTACAGATGAGGACACTTAGATTAGTAATACAGCAAGTAAATACTAGAACTGGAATTTGAATCTGAGCAGTCCTTGGTCAGAACTCATGTTCTTAATCACAACATGTACTAAGAGAATTATTACAAAAAATCCTAAGTGAGGTGGTTTTTGTTAGATTCTTGCTCTTCAATTGTTTATTTAATAGTTTGATTAGTTACACAAAGGAAAAGTGAACAGGAATCAGAATCAAACAGGAAACAACTGACACAGAGAGATGGACTCAGACTAGACAGCACACATCAGGCAGAAATGAAGGAGGGGCGAGAAGAAAAGGTGGTCTTTTAAATTAATTTTGAGTAGAACAACAAAATAATAGCTAACATTTAAATGTGTACCACGTGCCAGATGCTATCCTAAATATACAATATTAGCTCATTTAATCCTTGCAAAAGTGTTTTGAGGCAAATTCCTATTTTATTGATGTAAATAATGTGCTCAACACCACAAAGTAAGTAATAGATTTCAACCAGATGGTCTAGAATCCATGCTCTAAAATACCACAGTATACAAATAATAAGTTTATACCACTCAGGATAAATTACTGCCACCAAGTCCAGAGTCTGTAATTTCCAGAAGATAGACTACATTTGTAATTCTAGTTTTTGAATTGACCATGGTTTTCCATTGCAGGTTAGTTAATATAAAGCCACAATATTTAAAAAACAATGAATAGCTCTCAGATAAAAAATCTACGTTGTTATGTCTGTAAAACTCAATGTAATATAAACTACTTACATATGAAAAAGTTATATAGGCCATGATAAATCAATGTTAAGTTGCTATACTTCAAACTTTGATATATAATAAGGGATGAAAAGAGCAAAGTTCAGGTTTTAATTGCCATTAGCAGGGCATTCAACACAAAGAATACATTTTTCTATTTGTATTAAATTTTCTATCTAACAGGAATCTATACTGTTACTACTGTATTATAGCAACTGAGTGAGACTCAAACAATGCTTGCTACACTTAAAACTTCATTTAATAAATAATAAATTACTGCAGACATTTTCAAAGACTGACATTTATATTATACCTTTCAAGATATTCTATTCCATTTTAAGCTTTGTAGAAATATTTGAAAGCGCAATAAAAAAGATAAAGGCTATCTCAGGGCATTTTAATAGCTTAGGCCCCTACTAGTCTATTTTCACAAGTTGTAGACATGGCCACTCTTTCAAACTATTACAGGCATATTCCCTACAGTGTTCTCTAATATGCTGAGTTGCTATTGAGCATTAGATACAAACTCACTTAGTGGAAACTGTGGTAATGCATAGCTTTCTTTAGATTAAGTATATTTCTCTGGTTAACTGAATAATACAGATAGTTACTACATTATGTTTAATATTAAATATCTTATTTTTGAAAACTGATACTAATGTTATATAAATTATGTGCCGATACTGATGTAATTTGCATATTCCTAACTCAAAATAGCCTTAAATAGTAACATTTTGATGTGTCTTAAAGATACACTGCGATAAAAAGTAATTCTATTTTTTGTAAGACGAAATAGGTAAAAATTTTAAAAGAACAAAATATATTTAAAACATGCTAAGAATAAAGGCAAAATGGGGATAATAAACTATTAAACTGAATTACATTATGCTACAAGGTAGAACCTCCAAAAGTAGGTAACCATTCTACATTGACCACCTCCTTAAGTTGACCTAATTTTCACGGACCAGACATGTACCACCTGTACATCTCAGTATAGTACATCTCAGCCAAGTTCCTCATGGTGACCAACTCCAAATGTTGACCAGTTTGCTATAATCCCTTGGGTGGCCAACTTATAGAGGTTCTACTGTCTTTAACTACAATAGGCAACTGCAAGAAAAAAATCTTCTTTGCTCCTAAAGAATGGACATGCTATATTTTAGCCTCATACAACTTTTTATGTGTTGCTAAGAACTCTGATCTCTAAAAGGCAAAAACTAAATGAGTTTCAAAATTCAATGAAACAATCGAGAAAAACATGTAAAGGCTTATTCTAAGCAAACAGTATAAATATAACATTAGACAAAACAGAAAATTTAGTAATAAAGCAATTTTAAATAAATTTAACATCATCCAGCTTGGCGCCTGTAGCTTAGAGGCTAGGGCGCCAGCCACATACATAGGAGCTAGCAGGTTTGAAGCCAGCCCGGGCCTGCCAAACAACAATGACAACTACAACCAAAAAAAAAATAGCTGGGTGTTCTGACAGGCACTTGTAGTCCCAGCTACTTGGGAGGCTGAGGCAAGAGAATCGCTTAAGCCCAAGATTCCAACACCATGGAACTCTATCCTTGAAGTCTTAATTTCCAAAGAACTATATTTATCTGTGTCTTAAAAAGAAAAGTGAGCCCCCCCCCCCAAAATTAATTCCTCGGCTGCACTGTTTTAGTAGTAAGAAGTAGTAAGGTGGTATTCTATAAGATACTTCCAGGAGAACATACTGAGCCTGTAGCCAGTATGCATGATTATTGATGGATAGTTCCACAGTTAACCAGCAACTGAGAATATCTATACTCCAGGCACTTAGGCAGGACAAATAATCTTCAATCTACTATTTATCAATATTTATCCAACACTCAGATAAAAGAAATAATATTTTTGAAAACTACCCCCAAAATCATCTGTGTGTTTGTACATGTATTCCACCTTTTTCTATAAATAGCCTAAAATATATCTACATTTGCATTAAAATTAGAGCAATGTAGAACTTAATATCTATTTGGGAGCCCTACAGAATTGTTCTAACAATTTTTTGCCATTAAGTTCAATGGAAAATTAAGTCACAAACATTTAAAGGTGTAAAATTTTAAATACCCTTTTTTTTTCTTTTTTGAATATCCTGAGTCATTAAAAAATAAATATCCCATTCTTGAAAGCCAATAACCATATGCCTTATTAAATTCCCTTTCTACTTAGGATTCAATACAGTTTCCATTCCTTGAGAATGCACAATCTTTAAGAGACTATTAGGGGATCTGGACTCCTACTAATAATAAATCTTTCATTCCATTAGCTACAAAGAAGCATATCTGTGTTTTACTTTTATTAAGCAAAGAGAACTGCCTGGCATGCATTGGTATAATAAATTTTAATTTCTTTGCTAACATTATCTTGTTTACTTTCCCTTTATGACCTCCTCGATTAATCATTGTTTTGTTTACACATCTCTTTGGATAAGAGGACTTAAAAATTTGTGGAAGAAGGAAAGAAAAAAGAGGCTTTAGAAAAATAACAAAAATATTAAAGCATCTTTTATCAAAAGTAATGAATAAAGTCATAAAAGATTAATCAATAAATGAAAAATAAGCACTTAATGAACAATACTAACAACCTTAGTAAAAGTCAATGATTAAAACCTTAGCAAAGGTTTAACAAAACCTTTGTTTAATTTAACAAAATTATGGATAAATTGTTGCTATGCAAATGCAAATATGAAGTTTTTTTCCAAAGTAAAAAAGATATATTTTGATACATTTAATTATATTACGAATGATCATAGTATACATTTAGAATTCATTTGACAGAATTACTTTTAAGTAAAATCTATTTTTGCTTTTATAACTTAACAAAGTTCACTTTGATATTATTAATAACTACATTCTTCTTTTAAAAAAGAGATTTTAAGAATAAAATTGGTATAGTTTAAGGATTCTACAAAATGTTAGCTGTCAAAAGTAATCTGTGAAAATGAGATAGATATGTGAATATATAGAAAGTATATTATAAAATAAAGTATTTTTTCAGTATTGAAAAATATATATAAAATGCCAGAAATAATGAAGCCTTATACAAACATTATTATTTCATATAAAAATTGTGGGAAACAAAAGTGCATACTTACCCTTCTCCTCCCATTCTTGTTATTTTTAGACGAAAATCAACTGAATTCAGACTGGGAGGCTTCCATTTCAGAATATCATCACATCGACCAGGTTTATATTTCTAAAGTGAATTGAAATGATGATTGATCATAGTTAATAAAAATATAAAAAATAAATATCCAATTTATTAAACATAATACTTTTATATAATTAAGCAAAACTACTTGTTTTCTGGACATAATTTTTATCTTCGGATGGCATTCACTGACGACCTTTCGCCTTTTCCCCACGTAGGCCTGTCTGGTTTAGTGGTGAGGGGCTCCTCTACAAGGTACTTCCAGAATACTTTGGTAAAGTATTCAAATATTCCACTCCTCTTTTTATGGAGCTATTTGACTCATCACTGACTTGAAGGAGTTGTTTATATATTCTAGACAAATATTCTCGGTTTTCATGTGTTTAACAATTTCTTTAGAGGAGTAAAGTTTCTTATTTTAATGAAGTCAAAATTATCCATTTTGAAAATACATAATTGTGCTGTTTATGACTTATTTAAGGAATCTTTTCCTAACCTAAAATCTTCATAATTTTCTAATATGTTTTCTTAGAGAAATTTTATAGTTTAGGCTCTTATTTTTAGGTATACAATCAATTTAAGATCTATTTCTACAGTGCAAAGCGAAGGATTCAGTTCACTGACAGATGGATATCAAATCAATCTAGTACCATTTGTTTAAAAAGATTATCATTTCCTCATTGAAACTGCCTTGGCAGCTTCATAAAAATTCAATTGTTATAGGTACAGATATGTCTCCAATCTCACTGCTCATTGACACCTGTGCCTTTCTTCCTGCGAATGGTACACTGCCTCAACATTATGACTTTCCAAGCTTTGAAAATAGGTTGTATAAATTCTCAAACTTTATTCTTTTTCAAAATCACTTTCAGTTAATGTAGCATTTACATTTTCACATAAGTTTTAAATTCAGCGTGTCAATTTCTATGAAAAATAAGCCTTCAAAGATTTTAATGAGAATTGTGTTCAATCAATTGATGAGAGAAATGATAGCCTAACAAGATCAAATCTTCTGATTCATAAATATTGGAAATATGACCATTTACTAGGTCTCTACAAATGAATCTCACTTCTTTTGTTAAGTTTATTCCTAATAATTCAATATTTTTGGTTAATATATCACACAAAACAGTTTTATTTCTATACACCAGCAATAAAAATCTAAAAACTAAATTAGAAAATTAAAGAAATTTAAAATAGTATCAAAAGAACAACATAAGGAATTAATTTTATCAAGGAGATGAAGTGAAAACTATAAACATTGATAACAGACGTTAAAGAAAATTTAAAAATGCAAAGATATCATATGTTCATGAATAGAAAGACTAAGAATTGATAAGATGTCAATACTGTAGAGAATAATCTACAGATTCAATAAAATCACTATCAAAATACCAACAATCATTTTCACAAAAATGGAAAAGCCAATCCTCAAATTTGTATGAAATTTAAAGGAATCCTGAAGAGCCAAAACAAACTTGAAAAAAGTTCAAAAGTAGTCAAGTTAGAAGATTCACATTTTTTCACTTTCTAAACTTACTACAAACTTAATCAAGACAATGTAGTACTGGCATAAAGATAGATATACAGAGCAATAGACTAGAATTAAGAGTATAGAAATAAACACATATGTCTATAGGAACTGTTTTGTTTTTACAAGGATGCCAAGTTCATTCAATGGAGAAACAATACTCTTTCTAAGAAATACTCTTCTCTTTTTAAGAAACGGTGCTGAAGACAGCTGGATTTCTATATACAACACAATTAAGTTGGATTCCTACCTCACACCATATTAAAAAAAAAAAACAAGAAATAGATAAACAACCTAAATATAATAGCAAAAACCATAGTAGTTTTAGAAGAAAACATAACACTTGGATGATCTTAGATTTAGCAATGGACTTTTAGACTTGATAACAAAAGCATGAGCAATGTAAGAAAAACTAGATAACTTGGACTTCACAAAAATGAAAAACCTTTGTGAGTCACAAGAAACTGAAAAGACAACCTGCAGAATGGAAAAAAATGTTTGAATTATATACACAGTATCTAGTAATATCTATGTACATTATATATAAATATATATAATATATTCTAAAGAATTTCTAAAATTCAGCAACAAAAAAGACAAACAACTCAGTTTAAAAATAGTCAAAGGAGGGGAACAAAAGCGGAGAGTTAGGGAGGAGGCAGGGTGATTGGTGTGCTCCCACTTAATGGGCACAATGTAAGGGGATATGGCACACCTCTTGGGTGCAGGACACAATTACAAGAGGGACTCTACCTCACAAATGCAAACTTTTTTTTTTTATTTTTGCAGTTTTTGGCTGGGGCTGGGCTTGAACCCGCCACCCCTGGTATATGGGGCCAGCACCCTACTCCTTGAGTCACAGGTGCCGCCCACAAATGCAAACATTTTAACCTAGTTGTTTGTACCTTCATATTAACCTGAAATAAAAAAAAGAATATTCAAAACCTAAATAAGATACCCCTTCACAGCTACTAGGGTAGCCAGTAATATAATTTTTAAAATAAGAAGAAAAAGAAATAACAAGTGTTGGTGAGGATGTGAAGAAACCAGAACCTGTATGCCCTACTGGCAGAAATGTAAAATGAGGCAGCCACTACGGATAAAAGGTCAATGGCTCCTCAAAAAGCTAAACATGGAATTACCAAATGACCTAGGAGTTCCATTCCTAGGTATACAGTCCAAAAAGTTAAAACAGCTACTCAAACAGACACTAATATGTCAGTGTTCGTGGAAGCATGCATTACAGAAGTCAAAAGGTGAAAACAATCTAAGGTTACTTCAACAGAGGAGTGAACTAACAAATTCAATACGGAATGTTATTTTAAAAGGAATGAAGTTCTGATACATGCTACAAAATGGATAAACCTCAGAAGAATTTAAGTGAAATAGGTGAGATGCAAAAATCACAGCCACAAAAACTGAATCATAGATTATCAGGGGCCAGAGCAAGGAAGAAAAAGAGATTTTTGCTTTTGATATGTGAGCTGTGATATTCCCAAAGTCATTACTAAAGCCACTGTCAAGGAGTCACTCCCCTATGTTTTTTCTAGGAATTTTACAGTTTCAAGTTTTACTATTACTTAGATCTTTAATCTATTTTAAGTTGAATTTTCTGTGTGGTATCAAAGGTCTAATGTCCTTCTTTTGTATGTGGATATCCAGTTTTCCCAACACTGTTTGTTGAAGATACTATCCTTTTCCTATTGTGTATTCTTGTCGCGACCACATAAATGATCACATAAGACACAGATTGACAGTACATGCTGCAGGAGGTGAGGCTAGCCGTAGGTGCAGGATAGCACTGAGCACTTCTCGCAGAGTCCTTTTATTGAGAAGATACATAATGGGTGGGAAGATTACTAAGCAAAGACACACAGGGGCTGTGTGCTCAGGGAAATGATCTCATAGGTGCCAACAGAGTATGTACTCAAGGAAATGATCTTCAAGGGTGGTAAGGAAATGATCTTCAAAAT